CCCAAGGAAGAGGAGAATTCTTCAGCAGACCTGAAACTTGGCATGTTTATAGGAATGAAGTGAGAAGCATTATTCCTATTGCTTAGGAGTAGGGATAAATTAAGAATTTCTTGGCAATGCCTAACCATTAAGAGGAGGCTGCAATAGAAAGGAGGGAAAAGATGTATTTGTCATGGGATTGCAAACAAGTTACAGAGTGGGTCTCTTTCCTGACTTCAGCTGTCTGTAGCCCCCGGCTGCAGAGACAGATTAGTTTACAATTACACCGATATTCTGAAATTTTAGAGAAGTTGCATCTATCCAGCAACTTAGCAGATTGAACAGAAATTTGTTACAAGCCTTGATTTGTCCCCGAATGTTGCAAGAAATATCACACACACTTTTAGAAAAGCCATTTGGATATTAGCATTAGCCATTCTTGTCAACAGTCGGAGTTTAATATTGATTAGTGGATGCAGATGAAATCATATTAATTTATTTCAATTTAAAACCTAGAGTTGAAGACCTTCTCTAATTTAGCTTAACCCATGATTTCACTTTTCAAAGGCTCAGTCATAACAACGAACAGTAATCAAACTATAATTTACCATTAAATGGTATTATTTGAATGCTTGGTAAGAGCTTCTCAGGTAAGTGTTGGGCAAAGTAGTACTTGCCTGGTTGAAATTTGTGCTGTTAAAGTAAGAAAAGCCAAGCAGTAATTCAGATCGAAGAAGAGTCTAGGCAACATTCACTGTGCAGTGTCTCAGGTGCCAATATATGTCAACATAAATGTCATGGTGGGAACACAAGCCAATAAATCGTTTAAAATAGTGGAAAACTCTCAGGAGCAAGGATATGGAGACCTTGGTTCCAGTACCAGTTCCAGCTCTTGCTAGCTATAGGAACGTTGGCAGTTCACTTAACTTTTGACCCCTAGTTTTCTCAGCTGCATATAAATGTGATGATACCATCTTCAGACCATTCATAGTGTTATGAAGATTGAATGAGTGAGTTATGAGGAAGTAATCTGTAAATGTCAAAGTTATGTGCATGTGCAAATATAAGCTAGCGTGCTGAGGATGATAATGGCATCCCTGTTATGGTGGTCCTTGGTTTGGTGGAAAAAAAATGAATTAAGCTGGAGAGGAAAATAATGACCTCTTTATTTTTTTTCCGGGGGGAAAGGAGGCTTTACTATTTGTATAAAGAAATTGAGAGTTGTTATCAGAAGAACAAGAGAATATTTAAAGGAGAGGGATAGACTGGAAATGAAAATGTAGAGGTGAAAGAATCATTAAGTGTGTATAACTTGATGAAAATAGTCAGGAAGAGAATTGGGAGAGAAAATGAGGTGAGACCATCCAGGATGTCTCTTTCAATGGAATACGCTTGGTCTTGGTACAACAGATTATAGGGAGTCACACTATTGGTCAGATCATTGAATTACACGGGTGTAGGAAAAGGTATACTGGTTGAGGAGCTAGGACAGGAGCTCTAACACTGTGTCAATCACTAACAAGCTGCAGAGCATTGGCCAAATCATTTAGTGATTTTGGTTCTTGGTTTCTGAGTTTGTAAAATTCATTGATTAGAAAAGATGATATCTAAGGGCCTTTTCAGCCTTAACATGTCTGGTGTGTATGTATACATCTGCACATACCTACACCGTAAATACACATATGCATATGTATACATAGTTTATTAACGTGTATATACATGTAATATATATATATGTACATAATACGTAAGGTCTATAATACATGATATGTGATATGTATAGAATATGAAAGTTTAAAGTATATATTATATGAAAGTTTTTTTAAGTCAACTCACAACAAAAAGTTATTGAGGACTCACTATGAGTTACATGAAGTCAGTGAGGTCGAGGCTGACTAGGATATTGTCATCCCTTCCTTCAAGAAATTAACAATTGAACAATACTGTAAATATACAACAATTACAACCTGGTGTACCATGCTCATGAACAAAACACTGATAGCAGGGATGTTGTGTAGCTGATACAGGGGGCTGTGGAGAGTTTTAAAGAGGAGTTAATGTTGATTGGGATTTTGCAGGGTGAGAGCTGAATTTTTTTTCTCTGGGAGACATGGAGGTCCATTTCAAGCAGAAGGAAGAGAGAAAATGAAAGTGAAAGACACAACAACATTCTTAGATCTTGAAAGTACTGCAAGTCTGGTCTAGGATCTTTGGTGGGAATGAATGGATATAATGCCAATTTGATGGGTTGGGGAAGATTGTAAGAAAACCTTCGAACTTTGGTAAAGAGTCTGGAGCTTAACGTCTAAGCAAGTAGAAACTGTTGGAAGCTTTTTCCAGAGGATTGACATATTCTTGGCCTAGAATGGAGAGAGAGAAGTGAAGAGGCTTGGAGGTCAGTAAGGAGAGGGACTGAGAGGCGAAGGGGAATAGTCTAGGACCATAGAAGTGAAGAGTGAGTAGAGGAGGGCTGGGGGTCACGCTGCAGAAGTGTTATTCAGCTTTAGAGTGTAGGGAACTCTGTGCCAAGGAGAGGAGGAACTCATCCCATGAAGATCTCCATCATATCTGCACCCAGTTACTTGAGACCAAGAATGTGAAAGAAGGAAGAGCAGGTTTCCTGGGGTTAGAGAAGAATATCGATTTAATTTAGCTATACTAAACTTGAGGTAGTAATCCATTCAGATGAATAAATCTAATGGGAGAACTAGTGATTGGATGGGTAGTTTAGGAGAAAGAGTTAGGCTGAAAGTGTAGGCTTGGAACTCAGTAAATGTATGCTATTTCAGAGCATGGTAGTTGGAGAGATCATCAAAAGAAGAGAAGTACTGAAAAGAGGGGCCAGGATACTTCACAGAGAGTATTGAGATTTAAAGGGCCACTGTCAGGGAGAGACCAGTGCAAGAATCAGAGAAAGTGTGGTCAGAAAAGGTCCGAGGAAGACGGCAATATGTGCTAAATGGAAGATGTTTTATGAAGGGGATGGTGGTAAAAAGTGTAAAACATTTTCTGAAAGACTGGAAAGAATTATGAAATAGTTCAGAAATGATCAAGTAAAAGGGAGAATTGGTAAGATATTTAAAAGTGTTTCGGGAAAAGGATGTTTTAACTGGAGTGGTAGAGATAAAAACTTATTTGAATAATAAGATAATGGAAAAGGTATAATATTGATAAAGTCAAATAATCCAGAGGTGTTTAAATCACTACTCTGCTGCTTTTAAATAGTGACAACCCCAGAATATATTAAAAATATTTATTAAAATGAAAAAGTTAAATGTTTTAACACTTCTTTGTCATAATTATTTTGAAAGGTAGCTTGTCTTTGTGTGAATAATTGAAAAACCTATTTCATACACACAGAGGTAAAGCACTTATTATTGGAAGATAATTACTGATAAGTGTTAGTTTTTCATTCTTTAATATTCTAGAATATGGAATTTTTTTCAGTAATAATTATGACTAATAATATTTACCTGGCAATTCTAAATTAAGAGTATCAATGCATTGAATAAAATGTGATTGACTTAACATGAGTAGGACAGAAAATAATGAATACCTCCAACTTCTATCAACTTCTGTCACAGATATTTTCAGAAAGGTCTTAATGAAGTCATTGAATTTATTATTTTTTAATTGATGTATGGTTGATATACCATGTTAGATTAATTTCAGGTATATGATATAGTGATTTGACAGATTTATATAGGCTAGGTTCACCACAAGTGTAGCTACCATCTGTACCATACACCGCCATTATGATACCATTGACTATATTACCTAGGCTGTACCTTTTATTCTCGTGATTTATTCATTCCAGAATTAGAAGCCTGTATCTCCCACTCTCCTTCACCATTTTGTCCATCCATTTACCCCTTCCCCTCTGGCAACCATCACTTTGTTCTCTGTATTTATGGGTCTGTTTCTGCTTTCTGTTTTTGTTTATTCACTTGTTTTGTTTTTTTAGATTCCACATATGAGTGAAATCATATGGCATTTGTCTTTCTCTGACTTATTTCACTTAACATATAGGATTGACACTAGGTCCAGCCAGGTTTTGACAAATGGCAAGATCTCATCCTTTTTATGGCTCAGTAATATTCCATTGTGTGTGTCTATATACACACATACAC